AAAAAAAAACCCTCGGGTCACCAAAGTCCCCTTAGGTGAAAAACAATGTCTGATCTCTAAAATTACTGAAGTTTGGCATGTAGTGCTTTCGGATCATAAGTTCTTTTATCATTGTCATATCTAATTTATTAACTGCATATAGAATAGCTACACCAACCTAGGTGTCTTGTGGCTCCTTAGCCATGGCTTTGGCGGTCCAAACACTTGCCATAGCAGGTATAATTTCGAGGATGGAACACATGATAATCAAGACATGTATAGCTACCATGGTTCTTTCCTCTTTCCGGAACTCGATTTCTACGTCTTCTTCAGCAAACCGTGGAGGTTTCTGGTCTTCTTTACTAGTTTGTGCCTCGAAATATTTGATGATCAATATGCTATTGAGTGCCATCGCATAGGTAATGATGGTTAGTACTGATAGAGCGGCACATGCAAAGCTCACTGACCTCAGGCCGCTCATCTGCAACAATGAATGGCACGGGAAGCTAAGTTTTCATGGCGTAAAATCACTCATGTTTTAAACGTTAAGATTTTAGAGGTACAAAGTTCTCGGTCAAACGCCATAATATTCTTTAAAGGGCACGTTCAGCGGAAAAATATAAGAAGAAGCAAAGAATGATAAAAAAACAAACAAAAACAAAATATTGTTAAAAGTATTATGCTATTTTAATTCTCACCAAATCAGAAGAGGGTCTGGACCCGTTCACGGCTAAAACCAATCCCATGATGCCAATGGGTATGACCTAAAAAAAAAACTTAGAAGAACATTCAACCGCTCGATCAATATGTATAAAATGTAAACTATTAATATCGGAGTTGATTTCAATATTGTCACTTTGAGAAGGTACTTATTTTTTTATTCCAGCTCGCAAGTCCCTGAAGGACATCGATTAATCGATAAGAACACAGAAATGATAGAGCACAATTCGACTGATCTTCGTAAAATTGTAAATTAGTAATAATTGTTAAAGTGGAAGGAGACATTGAAGTAGGATTAGGAAGAGAGACAAACGAAGCAGTAGATTCATTTTAGGTTTATTCAAATGTCTTCAATTTAATGTGGAAGAAAAGCAATTTCTGTAAAATGTTGGCTTTCCGGCTTTATTTGATTGACAGGTGTCATACGCACTGATTGTAGACACTTAATAGAAACCTTTAGCTAGTGTGACTTAAGTCTATGCAATCTAATTACCTAACCTATGGTAACTTATGGGAGCCGTTGGCGTCAAATTTCTTTAACGTTACAGAAAAACCCTACAAGAAAGCATGGCCCACGATCATTGCTGCGTTAACTGCGAAGATCACTTTCATATTGACGTCTTTATCCGCAGTTCAAATATATGACTTTCATACATTCACAGCCGTTTTTTCACCACTTCACGGGTTTATTTGGAAACAATATAATAACCAGTTGCAAGTTGCCTTGTTAGCTCAGTTGGTAGAGCGATGCACCGGTATCGCAGAGGTCATGGGCTCAAATTCTGTACAAGCCTGAATTTTTAACAGGCCTTATTTTCACTACCGCTCAAGTGGTATTCGTCACTACGAAGATCACTTTTTATGTTATGTTTTCTTTGCATAAATAATCTAATGACATATACGTTCGTAATCATTCTCACCAGAATCGGGGAGCGTCTTGACCTGATTGCCAGAATAAATCCCATAATGCCCATTGGCAATACCTATCCAAATAAGAAGCAAAATTTAGGTTTTGGAAATCAAGTGCAATGCCTGAAAAAAGAGCTTTGTTTACAAAACCGTTACAAGCTCGTTAGTATAGTTTCGGACGATTTAAAACCCGAGGGAATATTGTTGCCGTGTTTTTCGTCCTCTATATCAGGCCTTCTGAAATGAAGTGAAATGGTATCGAATGGAGAAACATGAACCACCAACGTATGATCGGTAAATCTATTTTGATATATATAACGTTACACAATTATACCCAAGAATATTTACGATCCAATTTTCATCGAGAGAAACGACCTTACTTCTTATAATCTGAGAATACTCAGAGTATTGGTAGAAATTAGTGTTGGTATCTATATTAACATTCATAATATTGTAATTGCTTAGGTTTAACGTTGGGTAAATAAAGTTCCCCATGGCTGTTCTCACCACTCATTTATACGGAAATCATAAACGTTGCATCGAAAAACATTGTAATAAATTATGCATGGTTCGACACATCGTAAATACAGAGCGGCCTCCTTTTGGAGTGTGGCAACAAAGCCCAACCTAAACTGATCCAAATGCCGCTCTTCTATCGAGCATAATAACCTATAACTTGGATTCGGCGCAGTGTTTACAGTATAATAAGCTTTTCCGTGCGATACGGCAGGAAGACGACTTGATTTCAAACGGCGTGCTCTTGTTGTGAAAAACTAGTTAATTCCCCTCCCCTTTAATAGTTTATGTATTCCATAAATGTTTTCATCACATCTCATATCTTAGTTTCGCAGCTGTAATAATATTTGTATTCGGTTTATGAACACCATACCTTGTAGCACTTATCGCTAGCTCTTAAGCTAAATATTGAGCGCCATTCTCAAACTACTTTCCCCGATGAAAGGCAGCTGTGAAATTTAGTCGGAGTGGTCGGATTATTGAAACGAAGAGAAGCACCAGAAAAAAGGAGTTTTACATCTTCCCCGTGAACTTTTAATTTCTCAAATTTTAACTGTCAAAAGCATGAGCGTAGGCAATAAAACACCCGTAGTTCGATGTTTTGTGCATTTACAAGAGCTGCTATATGTAGCGTACTTCAAAGTGGTCCACAATGCCGAGTGCAAAAAGGATAGCAGCCATTACCAGCTGAATAATCGAAATGATTTTCAATTCTTGTCGAGCTGAACGCCATGTCTAGTTGAATATATTTCCCTGACGTTTAAGCTAAAAACTGAATCAGTGAAACATGCACAATATCACCTTCTCAGACTTGTCGCAATGATCGCCGGTTTCTCTTCGCTTATCTGGGCCAACGATGGCTTTGAGAACGAGATCATGTTTAGACATGTAAATGCTTAGATATTTTAAAATTACCAACACTCCCTGAGGCTTTAGTAAAGATAATATTAAACTAAAACGGGTATGATTTGTATGCTTTTTTATTAATTATCATACTACAAAAAATTTTTATGTCAATTTGAGGGTCAAACTAGTTATTAAGACATCTACAAATTTGGAATTTGATTATCTCCTCCCCCTCTCTCCCTCTCTGGGGCTAATTGGAACGTTCACGGTATTTATTGAGTCACGGTGCACGTTGGGGGTCGCCTGATTCTGGAGTAGCCACTTCTGGTTGGAGTGCAGTTGGATTCGACTGCCCTGGCATATGGATCCGGACCTGACCAGCTTCAAGTTGGCCATATCGAGCACCTACCTGAAAATGAATAAAGACATGATGACTAACTGACTGACCGACTGACTGACCGACTGACTGACTGTCTGACTAACTGACTGACTTACCAATTGACTGACTGACAGACTGACTAACCGACTGACTGACTCACTGACTCACTGACTGGCTGACTCACTGACTCCCTGACTTACTGACTAACTGACTGACGACCGACTGACCGACTGACTGACTGAATAACTGAATGGCTCACCCGTTGACTGCTCGGCTGACCGACTGATCAACCTACTAGCTAACTGACTGACTGACTGGCTACCTGACTGACTGACTGACTTGCTGACTGACTGGCTGACTGACTGACCACCTACCTGACTGACCGACTGACTGACTGACCAATTGACTGACTGACCAACTCATCAACTGACCACCCGACTGACTGCCGACTGACTGATTGATAACTGACTGACTGACTGACTGCCAAACTGATTGACAGACTGACCGAATGATCGACTGACTGACCATCAAACTGATTTCAAATCGATTGCAACGGAATTTGAGCCTGTAAAAATGAACAATAGGTCAATCCTTTATTTCACTTACTTGAGATTCCTGCGGGCCCTGAGCATCTATATTACTGCTCCTGATGGCTGCTATCGCGAGAATGATCTCAATGATGGAACATATGATAATCAGGAAAGAAACAGCCACCATGGATTTTTGCTTTTCAGTGAATTTTGTATCCTCGTCTTTACCCAGGAAATAGCGATTTGTATTGCTGAGAAAGTAACCTTCCGAATTCAAAGCTATCAATTTGGACCAAGCGAACATGTAGTGGTACACGGTTATCGCTGACATTGTAGCACAGGTTACGCTCACAGACTGCAAGAAATTCATCTGCAAAGAGCCAAGGAAAAGAAAAATCATATAAAATTAAAAAGGCGTCACAAAAAGTTGCTAATTCCTCTAAAATGTATTTTGTAGCTATTTTGTAGCGCAAGTTGATCATGGTATCAAGATAAATGTATCTGGTCTATCTACCGTAAATAATTTAACATTTACATTCAACGTGGTGGAGAATGAATGAATACCTCATGAAGCACAATTACACTAGTTTACGTTTCTTACCAGAGTCAAGGAAGGTCTATACATGCCGCTTAGAACCAAGCCCATCAAACCAGCGTTAAACACCTAAAATAAAAAATAGAAAGGTATGAAAAGAAATGTCATTGGAAATGCTATATTGTTCGTGCTGGTCACAAAAAAACATTGCTGGCGCGCGCCCTGATTGAACAAACATCTTGTAAATCGATAAGACATTTTTATTTTGTCAAACAGATAGATTTCATGCATGTTTCCGATTGCTGAACTGACATTGGCGGAGAACACGTTCATTTACTGAGAAATAGTGCGAAGCTTGATAATTCGCGACATCCTGTTTAAAATTAAAGACAAGTTCTTGCAGGGCAGCGGCCGAACCAGTGAGCCATAACACGAAATAAACACGACAAAGAGAGACAAAGATAATTTGTCTATTATTAACAAGTAATCACATGATTTGCTCCCGTAAAATTTTGGATAAATCAGAACTCGTAAATGTTTCAAAGACTAGAACTTGCACCCGCCCGACGGGTAGTTCTTAAAGGCTTGTTGAGCCTTTGAAAAATCTCTGATCTATCCCAAATGTTACTCGAAATAATTTGATTACCTACACAACGGAGGAATTAATATATCTCCTCGGTTGCTTGCCTAATGAAGTGAGTCGGTGTGCAAAGTTTTGTTTTGTTGATAACTGGAAAATACCGAAAAAGAAGCTTCCCTGGACTCGTAATATATAGGATTTTCTTCCGTAATATCGAGACAAGAAATGGTTAAATTTTCATTTAAGGCACGAGTTTGTAAACTTGATGTATACTTACAAGGGTCGCTAACCAGCATGGTGTGTAAGTCAAGCTGGAATACACGAATCGCACAGTTAATCCATCCACAAGGCCCAAAATGAGAAACACCAAACAAAGGATGAGCTGGGTGATCGAGATCACCTTCAAGTCGCGTCTGTTGATAGCCATTTGGAGTCAGTTCAGTCGCAGTGCTTAAAACACGTGCTGTTCGACCCAGACGCTCAGGCAACACTTGTATTCAAATTAGGCATCGAATTAAGTCATGCGATCACAAACTGGTTTCAACTGGTTTCAACTAGTTTCAACTGAGGGATTGGATGAGAGAATGAACTAGTGTTGAGAGCCCTGTCTCACTTTCGTGACAACACGTAATGCGAAAACCAGAATAACCGGTTTTTTTTAAAAAATATTTTGTAAGACAAATTTAAGTTGGACCACTCATTATAGTCGTGTAGAAGAGGCATAGGAAATACGGGAGTTCGAGTAACTGTGTTCATGACCACATCCAACTCATCGTCTAAAACCTGGAGTTCATCACGAGAAATTCCATGACTCGTGAAATATAAACGAGACGCAAAAGTTAGAGTTTTGGTGTTCACATTTCCATGCAGGTGACTGCATTTAGCTCATTGACGTCAGACTGAGATCTGGAGTTGATCAAGAGAAACTGCCAGACTCATTGAATGTATATCTGCCCTGTTTTGTACTCCATATCTCGGGGAAACTATAGAGTGAAACGGAACACAATTGAAAGTAGCGAAAGCATTATTGGATCTACAATAATTTCAATCTAAGCGCAGATCTAATCGGTATTGTAAGTGCCCCTAAGGCACGGGTTTATCCCTTGTTTTGATTTAGTAATCG